TTGAATAAGTAATTTATACTTTATAATTTTTGTACATTTATTTAGATTATATAAAATTTATTTGATATTAACAGTTAAAAATAAATAATTACAAAAAAAAACTATTATACTCATACTTAACTATTCCTCAATATGATTTTTAAATAAATAATTCAATACAATAAAAATTAAAGTATCCTGTTTGCAATATTCTCTTTGTAACACATTAAACTACACAATGGAGCTCCAGTTTTAGAACAGGAATACTTCTTAATATTTCCACATCCTGTTATACAGTAAGTAGGGGTACGTGGTTTTTTATACTGGACTGCTTTAATGGGACATTCAATGCTTTCCGGAAATGAAATTGTTGTCAAAAAGGCATTCTGTTGATAAATTACAGCAGGATCTAAACTTTTAGCCTTCCTTGGTTTAGCATCTTTTGTAGCTTTTGATTCCTGTTTCTTCAGAAGCCTCTCCATTGTCTTTTTCTTATCTTTTTCACGTTTTTCATCTGCCAATTGCTTCCTCTTTTGTGATTTTATTTGAGCCTTCTGAATTGCTTCTGCTGTCATAACTTTTTCCTATAATAGTACTATAAATAATGAAACAACTAATTTAAAGTATGTGATCATTAAACTTACTTTGTAGCCTGTTGGTAAAGACATTAAAGTGTCTGCCCCATCACTACCCCTTTCATACATAGCCCGCTGTCTAGCAGTCATCAAAGCAGGGTCTTTTGGCTTAATTTTCTTCAATTCGTCGTCCACATCTTCAAGTTTTCCTGATTCAATAGCTGTCAACCAACGTTCTTCATCACTTGAAGCACTGTCCCTCTTTTTACGTTTCTTGTTCGAAGGTACATTCGAACTTGAAGACTTTGTAACCAGAGGCTTTTTAGATTGTTCAGAATTCATTGCAATAGTAGGCATATCTTCTTCAGCTGAGGTTTTCTTTAACTTTTTAGTTTTATGTTTAATTTTTTTAGGTGCCAAGGATTCTATTTGCTTTGGCTCTAAAATAGCTGTAATTTGCCAAATAAGCAGTTACCATTTACAACTGACTTACCCATTAATCAATTTTAATTACATTTATATTAAACAGCCAAAAATAAGAAACCGAATTAATATGAAACATAAGCAAAAAACCTAACCAAAAAAGCTTTATCATAACCCACATAACCTCTGATTTTGCACCCTATGGATTTTGCTATTGCAATGATCTATGGCCATGATTTTGCTCATAGATCGCATGACACTCATAGACTGATCATGATACCATTTTTACATAGATATTTTTGTCTACTGTTTGCAGTCATGAATGTTTTTAATTAAATCACAATCCTCTAAATTTTTAAATCCTAACAACTTAAGATAAAATAAACAAATTGCCTTTTTAAGTGCTGTAAAATGATGTTACTAACCTCATTAACAAAAATTTTTGAATTTAATATAGTGGCTTTGAACTAACTAGTAATGTTCGAGTGGCCACACTGAATTTGAAAATAGTGGGGTAAACTTGAAGGTTATTTCATTTTGAAGTTGTACTTGTGATAATAACTGAAATTTATATTTTATTAGTATTACCGTCTTTTGATAGGTAATTTTGTTGAAGTTCATTAAACATACAATTTACGTTACACGTAAATCATTTTTATACAACTGACGTGTGAATTCCCTATATGAAATTGAATTTATAAAGGCAACTTTAACTGTCACAATAAAGGATTATTTTGGCGGTTGAATGCAATACAAAAAAGGAATTACATTTAAAATAAACCATGGCAAATGCAATTCGTATTATTTTTGTGTTACCCAAAGAATGTTTAGACGATTCACAGTGCAGTGAGGAAATGCAGCAAGCTTTTATGGTATGTATTTATGCTGCACGTTTTTGGTTAATTTTGACTGTTTATGGTGTGTTTCTAATTTAATAAAAAGGTTTGCAAACAAAATTCCATGAACATTCAATGGGTGAAAGAGGATAACATTCTTAGCGAAAGTTGGAGAAAAACTGACGTACTAGTTTTTGAAAGTTTTGAAAGCCCCAAATTCAATGAAGTCAAATCAAAAAAGAGTGTGTAAGGACAAGTTTCAATACTGTTTATCTTATCAATACCTTCGGGCATATATTGCATAGCTATCATTACACTTTTGCAGCAGAATAGTGGGCCCTAGGTGTTTGTTGATATGCATTACAGAAGGCAAAAGTATTCCAAATGTCTCCTGGCCAGTTTATAATGTTGCAATGTATAACTGTTATGTAGCCTGTTCTCATCTTTCAAAAGCACAGAAAAGAGAAATTGAAGGGTTAGTTCAAAAAATGGGTGGTCATTACACTGGTAATTTAATGGAAGCCACCACACATCTTGTAACAGACACGGTCAAGTCAGAAAAATACAGTGTATGTATTGTCATAATTCTTGAGTTTGTTTCCTTGTACACATCTCATAATAGTAGTATTGTACAATATATGGAAAAATATCCATAATTTTAATTTCTTCTAAATTTGGATGTTTCAATAGAAAGCAGCAGAATGTGGTTTAAAAATAATGCTGTCTTCTTGGGTAACAGAAGTTTGGAAGAGCAGTTCTAAATCAAACATAAATGCCAATGACTCAGAGTTTGATAAATATCGTTGCCCACCTTTTTACAATCTTGTTATTTGTTGTACTGGATTTTCACAACTTACAGAACGACGTAGAATAGAGGAACTTGTAAAAAAACATGGGGGAACCTTTAAAGGTCAATTACAATTAAGTACAACTGATATTTTGATATGTGAAAAAGGGTAAGTCCAATTTTACTCCTAATTTTTCGGTATACGTTTATGAGTATTTATTCTGTATGGTCTCAATTATAATATAGCCACTTATGGCTTAATTGCATAGGAAAATAAATTAACAGATTAATATTGGTATGATGTACAATTATAAATAGTATTTACTTTAAAAGTAATATAAAACTGTTCCATATGTGCTATTCCTTTTAGAAGCACCAGTAGTGCAAAATATAAAGCGGCAAAAAAATCAAAAACTCTAAAATGTGTTTCTTTGGAGTGGCTTACATGCAGTATCGAAAAAGGGTACGCATTACCAGATCATTTGTATCCTGTGGAGATTGGCACTTCGACCCCTACAAAAGAAGATAACAACCCTCAGCCTGATTTTTCCATGATCAGTAACATTACCACCACTTCAGTACTGGGAGGAAACACACTGGCAGAAACTCTATTAAATGTCGCGTCTCCTAATTTAGCAACAAACAATAAAAATGGTATAACAAAAGAAACTAAAAAACGAAAAAGTAAGCAAAAATAAGTATTTGAACTTATTTTGTAACCAAAGGAGATTCTTTAAGGCACTTCCAATGAATGGGATGACTTGGTAGAGCAGATCGATTTAAAAAAAGTTAAAATGGCTGGCACGTTTTTAGACGGATGCAGTGTAAGCAAATGTCCCTTCAGTTTTAAAATGCCATTTTCAACATCTAAACTCTAAAAACAAATTGTTCATATCCATTAATGATTAATTAAAATTTCAAAAAATATTTTGAAGCACACATTATTGTTCTTGGAACATCAAATTACCATTGCGACGTTAAAATGCTTTATATTATTAATAATAATGATTTTTTTTCCGTTTTAAAAGATTTATCTTGCGGGTTTCTCTTCGGAACAAAAAGATAAATTATGCAAGGTTCTCAATTTTGGAGGTGCAATGCGATATGACGACGTTTCAGAAAGGGTAACTCATGCAATTGTTGGCGACCCGTCATGCCACGATCTCAAACTTATCCAAAGCAGTGGTCTTATGAACCACTTTCCTTTACTCAACCTACACTGGTTAATCGACAGTATCGCGCAAAAACACCCCGTATCTGAAGAACAATACATAGTAAATGTCAATACAGTTAACGACAGTGAGCCTAAATCACCACTCAGCAAAAAGGTAAAGAGAATTATAAATTTTAAATAACAGTTTGATTATATTTTACTCGTTTTACAATAAATTGTCTAATAGAAAATTAATATTTATTTTCAGGGCCTATTTGCTTTACGTTCAGATACACCAAATATAAAAGAACGCAATGAAATTGAACAAAGACAAAAAGATGATCAACAACCTGACATTGACGACGACTCTGAATTGTTACAGCAATATTTACAACCCGAATCATCTCGTATGTCGCAAACATTTTTTGTACAATTTTATATTGGAGGTTTTTAACATTTTTTTAGGTCAAGATACTTTAGCTCAGCTATTAAGAAATGCCAGCGGTACGTTTAACTCCGAAAGTAATTTAAGCAAGAAAAAAGAAGAGAAAGAAAAAAGTTCAAGAAATGAAAAGAGTGTTCACTACACAGGTACCAACTCTAAACATTTCCAAGAGAATTCACAAAACCCACTTCTTCCATTTGATAAAATGAAATTTGTTATGATCGATTTAGATGAAGAAGTGTCTGAAGATATCCAAGCAAAAGTCGAAGAATGTGGAGGTGGAGATTAACACCATTATCACAGCAAAACTTATTTAAACAAATTTAATTTTTCGTATTACAGGCACCACGGTTCCTGAATCCTATAAGGGAATCCCTAACTACATTGTCATGCCCATCTTTCTTCCCTTCCTAAAAATAAAACCGTCGTGTGAAGTCGTATCCATTCTATACATCCTAGAGTGTTTTGAAACAAAAGAATTAATCGAACTCGAATACTACCACCGCCCGATGTTTATCGACAGCAATGTAAAACCGTTATCGGGTAAAGTCGTAACAATCTCGAGTTATTCCGGCTACGAACGATTATTTCTTCGCCACTTGATCGAGGAATTGGGCGGAGAGTCTCAAGATCAGTTCTCTCGCGTCACTAACATTAGCAAAAATGTCATGGCATCGACCCATTTAGTATCTTCTGAAGCGAGTGGTAAAAAATACGAGGCTGCTTTAAAATGGAAATTGCCAGTAGTGAATAAGGACTGGCTTATTAAAAGTGCTGAGAAAGGAGAACTCGAACCAGAGCAGCCATATTTGATGGGTGATTCAAAAGGTGAATGTAAATTAGTTAATGTTAGATTGGATTTATATATAAAGGGTCAAAAAATTTGTTTTGCAATTAAATTATTTATTTGGCAATATTGTGTTGTTTTATGTCTGTACGATTTTTTTTTTCATTAATAGGCTTGGCAATAATTAAAAACTAAAAAGAAATTGAACAATGTTATTTGTTTTTTGAATAACGTTGAATTTTTTTACTCCACAGTTGATAAATTGAATAACTCAACAACTGTACTGCCTTCGACGTCAAAATACTCAACTCCCTCAAAATCAAATGTTAAAGAAATTAATGGTAAATTAATTTTTTTAATCTATCTGCAGACGTAATCATAAAACATATTATTATTTTAGAGAATACAAATCCATATATTTCAGCACAGACACCTATGGGTACACCCAAAAATAACACTACAAAAAAACCTTCAGTATGTGATAATAATGAAGGTAAGGTAGCAAAATGTTATTTTACATGTTCTATTTTGTTATTAAACATACATTTATTAAAAAATTAAATTAATTTCAGTGAACACTCCAGTGACTGCCAGAGTGTTTAGTCAAGTGACTCCTGTCAGTAAAATAATGGAGGAAGTGCGCATGACGAACTTATTGGGCACTCCCGAATGCCCTTCGACCCCCAAACCATGGAATCATGTTAGTACACCTGACACTCCTCTAGGTGCTTTCATTAGACCAAATCCGTCACCTGCCTTACGTAAAGAATTAGCCCAATGGATAAATACACTTCCTGATTGGAAACCACCCCCACCAAGACGACCAAGCACTGTAAATTTCAATGTAACTTATATTAGATGTTCTATTATTATTAAAGTATCTTCTTACAGCCCTTATCTGAACTGAAAAAACAATTGTGGAACAAAATATTGCCTTCTAACCGTGAAATATCCACACAACTCAATTTTCGATCGGATTCTGGTGACGAAAGTGGTAAAGAAAATGAAACGGTAGCAACTCCAAACAAAATGGTTCCTTCTTCGGACACTGAGGTACAATTTCATTTTGAATTTTATTATTTTTTCGATAAAATGATAAGTCATTACTTTAATTTTAATTTACAGGAAACTATTGAAAGTGTAATGGTTAAGAATCAGTTACAACAAATTCAGGTAATGCTTACCTCAAGCGGTAGTAAACACAGTTCAAGGAGGCGTGAATCGACTATTCCTGAAACAGGCACGTAATTATTAATTTTATGAAAAAAAAAGACAAAATATAAAGCGGCAAAAAAATCAAAAACTCTAAAATGTGTTTCTTTGGAGTGGCTTACATGCAGTATCGAAAAAGGGTACGCATTACCAGATCATTTGTATCCTGTGGAGATTGGCACTTCGACCCCTACAAAAGAAGATAACAACCCTCAGCCTGATTTTTCCATGATCAGTAACATTACCACCACTTCAGTACTGGGAGGAAACACACTGGCAGAAACTCTATTAAATGTCGCGTCTCCTAATTTAGCAACAAACAATAAAAATGGTATAACAAAAGAAACTAAAAAACGAAAAAGTAAGCAAAAATAAGTATTTGAACTTATTTTGTAACCAAAGGAGATTCTTTAAGGCACTTCCAATGAATGGGATGACTTGGTAGAGCAGATCGATTTAAAAAAAGTTAAAATGGCTGGCACGTTTTTAGACGGATGCAGTGTAAGCAAATGTCCCTTCAGTTTTAAAATGCCATTTTCAACATCTAAACTCTAAAAACAAATTGTTCATATCCATTAATGATTAATTAAAATTTCAAAAAATATTTTGAAGCACACATTATTGTTCTTGGAACATCAAATTACCATTGCGACGTTAAAATGCTTTATATTATTAATAATAATGATTTTTTTTCCGTTTTAAAAGATTTATCTTGCGGGTTTCTCTTCGGAACAAAAAGATAAATTATGCAAGGTTCTCAATTTTGGAGGTGCAATGCGATATGACGACGTTTCAGAAAGGGTAACTCATGCAATTGTTGGCGACCCGTCATGCCACGATCTCAAACTTATCCAAAGCAGTGGTCTTATGAACCACTTTCCTTTACTCAACCTACACTGGTTAATCGACAGTATCGCGCAAAAACACCCCGTATCTGAAGAACAATACATAGTAAATGTCAATACAGTTAACGACAGTGAGCCTAAATCACCACTCAGCAAAAAGGTAAAGAGAATTATAAATTTTAAATAACAGTTTGATTATATTTTACTCGTTTTACAATAAATTGTCTAATAGAAAATTAATATTTATTTTCAGGGCCTATTTGCTTTACGTTCAGATACACCAAATATAAAAGAACGCAATGAAATTGAACAAAGACAAAAAGATGATCAACAACCTGACATTGACGACGACTCTGAATTGTTACAGCAATATTTACAACCCGAATCATCTCGTATGTCGCAAACATTTTTTGTACAATTTTATATTGGAGGTTTTTAACATTTTTTTAGGTCAAGATACTTTAGCTCAGCTATTAAGAAATGCCAGCGGTACGTTTAACTCCGAAAGTAATTTAAGCAAGAAAAAAGAAGAGAAAGAAAAAAGTTCAAGAAATGAAAAGAGTGTTCACTACACAGGTACCAACTCTAAACATTTCCAAGAGAATTCACAAAACCCACTTCTTCCATTTGATAAAATGAAATTTGTTATGATCGATTTAGATGAAGAAGTGTCTGAAGATATCCAAGCAAAAGTCGAAGAATGTGGAGGTGGAGATTAACACCATTATCACAGCAAAACTTATTTAAACAAATTTAATTTTTCGTATTACAGGCACCACGGTTCCTGAATCCTATAAGGGAATCCCTAACTACATTGTCATGCCCATCTTTCTTCCCTTCCTAAAAATAAAACCGTCGTGTGAAGTCGTATCCATTCTATACATCCTAGAGTGTTTTGAAACAAAAGAATTAATCGAACTCGAATACTACCACCGCCCGATGTTTATCGACAGCAATGTAAAACCGTTATCGGGTAAAGTCGTAACAATCTCGAGTTATTCCGGCTACGAACGATTATTTCTTCGCCACTTGATCGAGGAATTGGGCGGAGAGTCTCAAGATCAGTTCTCTCGCGTCACTAACATTAGCAAAAATGTCATGGCATCGACCCATTTAGTATCTTCTGAAGCGAGTGGTAAAAAATACGAGGCTGCTTTAAAATGGAAATTGCCAGTAGTGAATAAGGACTGGCTTATTAAAAGTGCTGAGAAAGGAGAACTCGAACCAGAGCAGCCATATTTGATGGGTGATTCAAAAGGTGAATGTAAATTAGTTAATGTTAGATTGGATTTATATATAAAGGGTCAAAAAATTTGTTTTGCAATTAAATTATTTATTTGGCAATATTGTGTTGTTTTATGTCTGTACGATTTTTTTTTTCATTAATAGGCTTGGCAATAATTAAAAACTAAAAAGAAATTGAACAATGTTATTTGTTTTTTGAATAACGTTGAATTTTTTTACTCCACAGTTGATAAATTGAATAACTCAACAACTGTACTGCCTTCGACGTCAAAATACTCAACTCCCTCAAAATCAACTGTTAAGGAAAATAATGGTAAAGTAATTTTTTTAATCTATCTGCAGACGTAATCATAAAANTGCGACCCATTGTTTTTTGGAACACAGGGCTGTCTCCGATTTCGCTTTATATGTGCCATTAGCAGAACAGGGCATTTATTGTTTGAATACAGTGTATATAAACGAATTTTTGCATAGGACCGCGAGTGACGTTAGAAATTCCATCTTGCCATATTTTACAAAGTACTATTCAAACACCTTTAGAGATTAACTAAAACGAATCGACTGTTATTATTATTATCGTCATTGTTAATTTAGGTAAATTTATAGCTTAAAGTAACAATATAACGTACATCAGTTTAAGAAAAATGAAACTGCTTGCTTTTATTTTTTAAATATTTTTTTGGTTATTTTGAAAAACCAACTATTATTTTTGAATAAGTTAATATATTAGCGTATCTTTATATTAAATAGTATTAAAAAATCATTAACATCATTAAACGACTGTGATTACAATTTTTAATAATACTTCATTTTGTTCAAAACTAATTTAAATAAAATCAGTACCTACTTTAAATTTTTAACAACAAATAAAATTGAATGTATAAGTTATTATGTATGTGTTTATACAAAGACTGTTTACATATTGTAATATGATTTAATAATATACGTACTTTTCTATTAAATGTTTGTCTTTTATTTCATTGTTTATTTATTTGTAATGATTAAAAAACGTTAAGGCAAATCCTAAATTATAAAACAACAAAGGTAAGTAAATATAAAATTATAATCCTTTGGAAGTGAATGATCAAAATTCAACTTTATTGTAGACATATTCAACTTCATGTTTCAAAAAAGATGGCCTACCTACTTTCTTTTTTGCCACGCCCACCGTCAACATTTCGCAACCGTACTGTTTCTACTACTTTTTCAAACTTAAGTAATCTATCTAACTTCCTAACTAGTAAAAATAAGTGACTCTTCTACTTTTTAACGACCAACATTTATAACAGCTACCACCCTGCTTCCTATATTCACCATCCCTACATATCAATATCTTTTATTTATTATTATTTATTTTTATCATTGCATATACCATCATCTATTTGTAGTAACCAACAGCAAATAAATATTATTCCTTGTAATAAGTTTTAATCAAATCATAATGATAAGGATATTTATGGCAAAGAAAGAAATAAAACGTATTTTTTTATTTCTGCCAATAAATAATTTACAAAGGAGCTATCAGTAGGTATCAGTGTGAAAATATATGTGTTAAAACGTATTATTAATAACACATTTTGCAATACACAATATGCAAGAAAGTGTACGCATATATAAATAGGTATAACACATGCATATACATATTGTGTAAACCTACAGGTTTATTTTTTGAACATTTAAATATCANCATCGATTCTGGCTAAAGATTTTTCTGATAGGTGCTTCGAAACTATTATTTGCAGGCACTTGTGTGAATCATTGAGGGCGGACAGGATGTAGTTGCGATCGTAACTGAAGTCGACTTCGTAAAACGAGATGATGGCCATCGCTGCCATCCGAAACTTTATACGAAAACGTTCTGCATGTTTGAGCTCCTCTTGAGAAAACAAACCGTTCCGATGAAGGACTCCCAGCTTTATTACCACTTTTATTATGTTCTTTATGAGCTTTTCTGCCTCTTTTTTGTTGTTTGACTAAAAGGACAATAAAACAAAACCTAATTAAATTGTTTAAATTTCGAGTAGGTAGCGCTAGTAGTTACCCAGTATCAGAGCAAGGAATGAGGGAGGGATACAGGAATTAGGTACAGGTACACAAATCTAGACAAATACAATAATTTAATTTTATAGATAGATAGACCTAGATTAGATTCCTGTTAGCAAATAGTTATGGATATGGGTTGTTCTAGCACAATACTGCGATGTGGAAAAGCACACCAAATTCCAATGATGGCGTCCTCTAGGATAAAGCACTCCGGATTTAAACTAGTCCATGAGGCAAGAAGGGAAATTAGAGAATTCGATAGTAAAGGATGTGGAATGTTCTAGTTTTAGGGAATACGAAGATTAGTTCAGGATAGAAAGGAGTGGAGGTGCCTGTCCAATCAGTCTTAGGACTGACGACCGTATGAAGGTGACGAGACTATGTATGTTATTGTGATTTTTTTTTGCAAAACAGTTTCTTAACATTCACAGTTTTAATAACTTCGGTTGTCGTGTTCATTATGATTTTAATAACTCTGGCATTTTAAATTAAAAAAATTGATTGATTTTAAACGTAATTTAGCATTTTTTCCACACAATTCCTACCATAAAACATAACCAGTAGCTATTGGTACATCAATTCCATTAACTATTTTGTGGAGACATCAGAACATCTAACAAGTATTTTTTAAGTACTAAAACTAAAATTTAACAATACATTAATTAAGTAATGTTGTGTCCATAACGTCCATTAAATCACATGTAATTAATATCTATTGCTACATTTATACTGAGAAAATTAAAACACTCAAAATGACTACAACATACCAATTTGTTCACATTTATGGCAAAAAAAATCGTCTTATTGTTTTTCCTTATTTTTTATTAATATCGAAAAATTTATTGCGCTGTTTTGTAATATAATAATCTTATTCTTAATTTCTGACTTAGAATTGGTTTCAAAATAAGAACCACAAAAAGAGTGTTGGTAGAAGGCAAACTTTTTGAGGATGATGTACTCTGTAGACTATTCATTACTATTCATTATAACAAATCAAGTGCAAAATTGGACAAATGACTAAAGATATAAAAATATAAATAAAAGAAATACATAAATTAATTTTTCGCATTATCTTATTATATAGATGATATGCAGCTCCTATTTCGTATTAAACAAAAAGACAACATCCACAAAAAGCTGGTACCACCTCGGTACCATTTCGAAGCCAATTATATGTCTGACAAATGTGGCTGTAAAAGCCTTTACCTTTCTGTGTTTACTATTCATACAAAAGATATATTTTGTGTGGATACGACAGAACTACCTATCTTCATAATGTTGCCTCTCATAATTTTTACCCAAAATATTAGTATCATACTATTTTCATCTATGTGTATTACTCACTAATACTTAAAATGGCAGTTTTCTTTTAAAAACCAATCTATTTATTATTATTAGAAATCGCATTCTACATTAGATACCTTAATCAGAATAAGGCAAATTCCCTATAAGAATTACATCCTGGACCGCTTGTGTAAATATATAAATTAACGATATGTCGAGGCAATAATTTGTTTTTTATCCTTACCATATACAAGTAAAATGGCGCGTATGTACAGTACCTATGTTCAAAAAAGGAACAGCACGTGTAAATAATAATACCTAATGAAACTTGACCATTTCAATTGTATCTAATTATAATATGATGATATAAATAAAGGTCAGTAGTCGATTAATAGTCAATATTTTGAAAATAGGTAGGTAAAGATGGGTTTGCCCCATTACCTACTACTATCGGATTCTTTTATGCTATACTTTTGACGCTAACAGAAATCAATAGAATTTACATATTATTACAAGTTAAAAAATGGATTTTAAGCTCAATGATTATTTATTAATCAAGGGTTCAGGTTTTACCGAGATCTTTAAAAGATTGAAAAATATTTATGAAAACGTTGCAATGGACAACAACAATATAGAAGTTGAAGACGAAGTATAAACTAACGAATTAGCTCAGCAATGGAAGTTCATGAAGTTTTCCATGGGTTTCAGGTTCTGTACCGAGAGTATCTGGAACCAGTTCTATCTCTACAGACAAAATCGCAGGAATCAGCTGAAGTTTTATCAGTAATTGTAGTTCAATGTTAATCAATCTTTTGGCCCTTAGTTCGCCTCTATAAGCATCTTTCAATCTTCTATAAATCTTAGAAAAATTGCGACCCTAGATTTTTAAAAATGATAGCTGCTTACTTAACTTTAAATCCATTATTCATTTGCGATAAAAGGTAACTTAATATCAAAATCGGTAAAGGTTAATTACTCACCGTAAAATCATTGTAGCTTGTTTTGTTCCAAAAATGTATGAGATGTACAACTTGCATAAACAACCTTAACGGAAACATCTATTTGTAGTAACCAACAGCAAATAAATATTATTCCTTGTAATAAGTTTTAATCAAATCATAATGATAAGGATATTTATGGCAAAGAAAGAAATAAAACGTATTTTTTTATTTCTGCCAATAAATAATTTACAAAGGAGCTATCAGTAGGTATCAGTGTGAAAATATATGTGTTAAAACGTATTATTAATAACACATTTTGCAATACACAATATGCAAGAAAGTGTACGCATATATAAATAGGTATAACACATGCATATACATATTGTGTAAACCTACAGGTTTATTTTTTGAACATTTAAATATCAATATATTGCTATCAAAAAATTGTCCTAGAAAATAACAGCACATGTGGGTTTCAGTTGATGCATCTAAATTACTGAATAAAGTTCTTTTTTATCCAAATAATTTTATTGAATAAAAATAAGGAGAAATATAATATACATATTTGGTGCGATTGATCTCATTTCTGGTAAAAATTAATTATTTATTNTAATAATAAGAGTAAAAATTATATCACAAATATTAAATGATAAGAAATGTTTTAAGTCGTGTCATGGTAATCTTTCCACATTAAATTTTTTTGCTTCTAAATTCTACGTAATACACCCTGTAAGTGGTGTATCCCTTTTCGACTATTTACAAATATGTTGGGTACATTGACATGCACAATATTACACAAACAGGGTTAAATATAACATTAAAATCGATTGTTGTTTTTAGAACGGCCTAAAACTAACCCGGGTTAAAGGGAGACATCAACTTAAAAAAAAAATAGTAAAAGCATTAGAATACTTTGTAGGTCTTGAGAGTTCGACTTAGAAATAATATAAATTGATAAACAACCCTCGTCATGGTAAACCCCTAGCTACATACAAAGAACGAACCAATAAATATCACAAAAATTTCAGTTACCAACAACAAAACACATAAAATCCACATTTTTTTAAAGGTCACCATTCTCTATGGCCTTGTTCAGATCGGCCACAATCTTTCCCAAAATCTCTCTGTATTGCGAATTCGGACTGAACAGTTCGTCTAAGAACTGCTCGTTTGTGAAAAACCCAAAGACCTCATCGATTCTGGCTAAAGATTTTTCTGATAGGTGCTTCGAAACTATTATTTGCAGGCACTTGTGTGAATCATTGAGGGCGGACAGGATGTAGTTGCGATCGTAACTGAAGTCGACTTCGTAAAACGAGATGATGGCCATCGCTGCCATCCGAAACTTTATACGAAAACGTTCTGCATGTTTGAGCTCCTCTTGAGAAAACAAACCGTTCCGATGAAGGACTCCCAGCTTTATTACCACTTTTATTATGTTCTTTATGAGCTTTTCTGCCTCTTTTTTGTTGTTTGACTAAAAGGACAATAAAACAAAACCTAATTAAATTGTTTAAATTTCGAGTAGGTAGCGCTAGTAGTTACCCAGTATCAGAGCAAGGAATGAGGGAGGGATACAGGAATTAGGTACAGGTACACAAATCTAGACAAATACAATAATTTAATTTTATAGATAGATAGACCTAGATTAGATTCCTGTTAGCAAATAGTTATGGATATGGGTTGTTCTAGCACAATACTGCGATGTGGAAAAGCACACCAAATTCCAATGATGGCGTCCTCTAGGATAAAGCACTCCGGATTTAAACTAGTCCATGAGGCAAGAAGGGAAATTAGAGAATTCGATAGTAAAGGATGTGGAATGTTCTAGTTTTAGGGAATACGAAGATTAGTTCAGGATAGAAAGGAGTGGAGGTGCCTGTCCAATCAGTCTTAGGACTGACGACCGTATGAAGGTGATGATTTAATCTACTTTTTACCCTAACGTATATTTTATTTCCTCGTTATCAGTTTAATCATTACATAGAAAGTTTCACGTCTGGCGCTGTCAATTTTTGACAAACGCGAAACATTTTTTCGCCCTTATTACCTACCTGCCAGAGAAACAGTAGTGATTATCAATGTTGTTTTATTTATTACTTTAAGTATACTTCGTTTAGTTTCTCTAGCTATGTGACTTTCAGTTTAACCGGCGCAAAGTAGAAAAGAACAGCACTAGGCCAGAAAGGGAAGGAGACAACTCTCGGCCAAACTCTTAACCGGTAAGGAGCGTATAATCCGTACAGTACTGCACGGAAAAAATGACCATTTTATCCACTACAATTGCAATGCTCAAATGTGCTGTTATTGGTATCAATTACTACTGAAAATATCAACGTGATGTTTATTTATAATTAAAGACATATTAAAGCCTTTAACGCTTGTTTTCGACTACTACTACTATTCATGGTCGAACAAACTTTTGGCAGGTACTGTATGAAAAAGTATGTTTAATGAACAAGAGTCGAGAGTATAATGAGCTTTTTTTCCCCCGACCTATGATTTTGCCAGCGCGCATTTCCAAGACATTGGAAGGGGCACATCGCTAGAGAAAATAAACGAAGTATTTCTATTTCTATCAATACACAAATAACTGATTATCTAGACAAACAAACCAGGAACAGTATAGTACCTATGAGGTAGAAAATGGTATACTTACATATTGTTTCGCTAAACGATAAAGATTATCTAAAAGAGAAGCTGTGACGTCATCGATAAGGGCACGTGCTACGTTTTTTCCTGCCATTCGGGAAAGAATTTTTTTTTGAGCGCGCAAACCAATGTCTCTCGCACGAAAGCCATTGTCACTCATGACTAAAAATAAACAAGACTGTATTAAAAACAGTCCTAAAATCCGAAACGTAATGATGGTAATATCAATAGGTGATTTTATACTATCACAAAAGTACTTAATGTCATCCTCTGTTATTAGAAAAATACGAAAAGTTATTAATTAAATAGAGGAAGAATTGTAACTGTGAGCCAGTAATAACTTTATTAAAAAGATAACACTCCCGAAAATTAATATTTATATTGTTGATTATTNTTCTTGAAAGGAGGCTGAAGATGGCTTTTTGCCCTACATTCCGGCGTAGTCCGGAAGGACTACTCGCCAACCAGCATTACTGGCTGGTGGGAATGAAACAACCAAAAGTTTTTTTATTCCATCAGTAAGCATTTTGCGTCAATAATCTATTCGTAATATATCCATTGCTTCTAGTGGGCGTCTGTAATCTGTATGATAGTAATCAGTAGTTTGTCATTTCCCTAGTAATAATATAAGGACAGTTGAAGTGTTCATTAGCAGTACCGAAATTTTCTGGCAACAACTGGCACTATTGAATGAAGATCATATTGGCCGACGGCACTATGAATCCTAGACCCGCAATGTTATTGAGGAGTTTATAGAAAATTTACTACTACAGCCCCCTACTTCTTCGATTTCCAAATATTCCTTCACAGTGGGGCAGGGTGGTACAAAATCTGTTTTAATAATTATATTGATTAAAGAGGTAAACAACTAAAAATAACCAATAATGATGTATACCTAAACTGTTTCATCAATGCCAGTCCGAAAAAAGTGAAAAAGGACGTTAATTTTATTTACTAACTAGCTTTCCCCACGGCTTCACTCGCAGAAATTAACATTGTTTCTCCATAAAACATTTTAACTCCCAATTCACCCCTACAAAGTTTTAATTTTATGTAATGTCGCTATCTTAGATTTCAAATAGAAATGTAGCAACAATTTTTCATCCTTAAGGGTTGATTTTTAAAAACACGTATTTGCTTAATTTCAAGTAAACTCAATCACAAAGAAAATATGTCCCAAACAAAAACTACAACCCCTTTATTAACCCCCTTCTTTAGACCAAAATGTCCCAGTCAAACATTGTAAATCCTTTTCACCCCCCCCTCACCCTCAGAGATTGAATTCTTTAACCAAGTTTCAAATAAATCTGACCAAAAATAAAAATTTTCCATGTAATCTTTGCAAACCCCTTTCAACTTCCTGCGCAGATTGAATTTTTTATAATGTTGAAATTATATGTATATCATTAATTTTATATGAAAGAGCATTAAAACTTTAAAGTTTCATCTAAATCTGGCTAAAAATAAAATATCTAGTATATAAACGTTACAACCCTTTCTCACCCCCTTTCAGAGGTCGAATTTTTTTAAAATGGTTAAATAGGTGTTTGATATCATGCCAATGAGCACAAATATCAAATTTCCTGTAAATCTGACCAAAACCAAAGATGTCAAAATTTATAACATGAAGGGTTTTCCATATAAAAATCTATCCAAATTTCCAGATTTTCCAAACATTTTCGTTCACACAAACCTTGTTCTATCAATTACAAATACAACAAAAAATAAATCAATGAAATCGGCTGAGCCGTGCTCAAGTTAGGAACAGTTTGAATTTGGCATTAACGTTAATTCTGGTCAATTTTCCCCATTTTTCTCTTCCTAAAAACCTTCCTCGGACTTCAAGGAATATCTTAAAAAAATATTTTCGAAATAGTTGAGCCGTTCTCGAGTTTTGCGCTTAGCTTAGCAACACATTTAGCAATTCATTTTTATATATACAGATTAGCAATTAAAAAATTGAAAAAATTAACCAATTCAAAATGGCTACCACAACTACAACAGAAAAACAGCGAATCACTTTGAACAACTAAAGTGTAAGTTACACACTACATATTTATATTTTGATTTTTTTTAATAACGAAGACACTGATTAGTTAATTATTTATTTTTTAATTGCTTAAAATTTCACAAAATATCAAATGATACACAAACAACAAAACAGTAAAGGAATAAAGTAAAACGAAATCTTTTTTGGCAAAATGTATTTGTGATTTATATCTTGAATATCGAGTAGGTAAATGGTTAGTATACCGGGCGTCTGCATCTAATTAGTACTAATCCAATAATGCATTAATATTAAGTGTACAGCTGCATTACATAATTGAAAATATTTCTTTAAAAATACTAATCCATTATTCAAAAAAGAGTATCTTTGAGATTAAAATTTACAGTATTATTTTCTTTGGTGAACAGTGGGATACCATGACTATCCATTTTCATTGTACATAACTGTACGTTTAATCTGATACTTAGTTACACCTTTCAGCTGAAAGATATTCAAAAATATACAACGAAAATAATGTCCAATAACACCTTAATTATGACAAAAAGACTTTGTATAAAGCGTTGAAATTGCTATGACAACCCATTTACATTTCTATTTCTTCGTTTATTAGTTGACTACACGAATAATCCAAACAAAAATCGATACTGGCTTTAATGCAGCAGATTTTTATGTTAATTTAAAACGTTTTGCCTGATTCAACAAAACATCTTCAAGGACATAACGGTTCTTGCTACAATTATTTAGTATTATAGTTTGTATAACTTCTGTGAAACT